CTCTCAAAATTAATATAATTCACTTTTTTTTTCAACATAACCCATACTACAACCAACTTCCCCTGTGGCCGCGGGGGGGGGGGGGGGGGGGGGTTTCTTCTTTTTTTTTTCCTTTTTTATAATAATTTTCGTCTAGGCCCAGATGGCTAGGACGGCCATGAGCCCAGTACCAATAGCGACACAAAAGAGGGCGAACAATTGTACTTTTAGGCCGGCGCTGCGCATCTGCTCGTTGAACATGAATTCATGAGCCAGCAGTTCGACGAGACCAGTGTAGATAAGGATGCCGGCACTGATGGAGTCGAATACACCGTTGATGATCAGCGCATTAGGACTTTCGGGTTGCAGTGTATTTCGGACACCGAGGCCAATAGCGATGGACACAGGAGTGCTGATAGCGTATCCTAAGCCTAGGAGGTACTTCAGCCACCACTTGGATCTGGGCCATGGGACGCTGGCAAGCCGCGTGCCGAGACCGAGACCTTCGAAGGTCTGATGGAAGACGAGGACGACGTAGAGCACGGCGAATTCCTCACCAGCAACAGCTAGCGTGAGTCCGATGAAGATGCTGTGAAAGACGACGCCGAATTCGAGGATGAAAATAGCCGTCATCTGCCTGCCAAGCGATATCTCATCGTGTTCATGTTCGCGAAAGTGACCAAGGTGGTCCTGGTTGCCTGGTGGATAGTTCACATCATTAGGGATGCCTGAGCTTTGGCTACTGTTTCCAGGCAAGTTGGCCTCCAGATCGTTGGGTGTATGTTTCTGTGTAAAGGTAACTTTTTCATGGGTGTCGTGACTGTGACCGAAGATGTCGACTCGACTGATCAACAGCTCAACAGTAAACATGACGAAGACGGCGATGAGAGTAATAGCGGCAGCGAAATCGTAATCTTTGATGGGGCCATCCGGGAGACAGGGGTTCCGCAAGGCCTCGAAAGCTGGTGAAAGGAGGTGCAAGAAGGCGGTTCCAATGATGACACCGGAGCCGAAGTACTTGGCGATGAAGAACATCTTATCAATGGCCTTCAACTTGGTGTACTTGGCGAACAATATGGGCAGGTAGGCGCCTAGAAGGGAGCCGATGAAGATGACGAAGATGGAAGATATGCGCAGGCCATTTCGGCCGTCGTACTCGTTGCCCGTGCCACACTGGACAATCACAGTCCGACCCTCACTGTCGGCCTCGGCCTCAGCTTGTCGTAGCTGGAGGACAGCATCCATTGCTGCCGAACTGAAAGACATATTGACTCTCTGCTCTCTGTATATTCTAGGTTAATTCAATGTGAATTTCGAGTGTTGCGGTTCACACAGAGGTCTGAAGCCTGGGCGTTGATATGTTATATATACCCGCTCTATTAGCATAGAGGGTCTTTGACAAAGGCTTGGGGAAACAAGTGCTAACAATGGCTTTCTCCAACGATGCAGAAGAAAGAAAGAAAGAAAGCCAGAGAGACGAAAGAGAGACAAGGGTAATTATAATTCCTATCTTACCTGAGAAAGTTGTAGGCTGAGTTGGAGCAGTCGAGACATGGTTTGAAGAGGCGCGATGCGCAGCCATTATAAAGCTACTTGCCAAACCTACCAACCTAACTATAAACTGCGCATGTGTGCGTTGGTGGGCTTGCAGAGTGGATGAGGTTGAGGACCTTGATGGGCAGGCACATGGGTCCAAAAGAAGGCGCCATGTACCCAGGTACTTTTCTGCCTACACACACCATCCAGGTACATAGTACACACATAAGTAGTAGGTACTATGTACATATGTAAGTGGGAGTATAATAATACTTCTTTTACATGCAGAGCTTCCCTAACCCATATCTTTGCAAAGTTCCTATTTTACATGAACTGATTGATCTTCATAGGCGAACCTTCATAGCTATGATGGGATCAAGTCCGTGCAGTTGTGTGTACCTTTTCGCTCGTACTGTAAGCTCATCGGCATAAACTTACTTAGCTGCAAATAAGTGGTGTTACAATGGGGATGGATGCACACCATCCGCCGCACGCGAATACCCAGGTGCCAGGTCTCACGCGCATAAAACCTGGATACATCATCTCAGGCCACCTATACCTGTGACTACTTGATTGATTACCCACCATCAGTACATAGTATGGTTTACCTATGTAGGTAGCTGAGTGAGTCTTTGCTGTCCCTTCTTTTCCTTTTCCTTTTCTTTCCGACCTTTTGCTATGTGCATCTTTTGCCTTTTTTTTTTTTTATGTGATATTGACTCTGTCTGGCGCAACTGACACTCTAAATTATTCTCCCATGGTTTCTTTTATGCTGTAATCGGTCTATTATTAAGCATGGTTGAAAATTAGGGTGCGCACCTACCCGACTTGCGTGATACATATTACCTACATATGCATATAGATCTTGGGAAGATTTACTCGGGAATCTTTATGTACTGTAGGTACAGAGTACCTATAAGCGGATCATGAACCACCCAGGCGGGCAGAACAAGTTTTGAATTCACAACCTCTGATACGTCGACAGAGAACAAGCTACTACTAATTGGGCAAAACGCCTGGCCATCAAGGTTCCCGAAAGAAAAAGGCGGACAGGTGGAGACACAAGAGTCCGCACGAGGTAGGTACATCATCGAATCCTTTTACCTACTGTACTATACGTACCTAGGTCGATTTGTGTACATGTATGGCCATCAGGGTCCTCACGTAGGTAGAGCAATTCTGCTGATGCAATCCCCCCCACCCAACCCGCTGCCACTACCCCCCATGCCATGCTATGCCATGCTATTGAGGCACATACAAACAGTTCATGAGAGGGCTGGCCGTCAAATGTCGAAGTAGGTAGGGTTCTGTGTTGAAATGGGCATGTATTTACACGATTCTCTCGATACAACAGATGTCTAACCGCTTCAACGTGTAGATATTGATTTTCCATGTTTTTTACATGCTCTATCTACTTAAAAGGCTACAACCGGGTGGTTATAGATATACACGCCCTGTATATACATATATTGCAGGTGATATAAAAACATGTTTTGTTATGCCTGCTATGTATATTTATTTCTAGCTGCGTTTGGCGCTTCCATTGTGTCACCGGGAATTCGGGAACAACGCACGTAACCTCTCGAACCTGTCTCAGCCAAACGGTTTCTTCTCTTTCCCCGTCCTAAGACCTGATCTGCTTCGGTAAGAACTAGTAGTGCGACACATGTGTAGTCCCACTGTTTCCGAGATGCTTGTTATGAAGCCACCCGCGAGTTTTCCTCAGCCTCAGCCACCTGTTGGTTCGGGGCAGGCCGCTCTGGACACGGACTATTGATTCTATGTTTGAAATCATCGACTAGCTTGGGATGGGATGTGTCTGATCGACGTGCTCGGTGCCGAAAACCGAAAACTGTTGCTTTCTTTCTCATGTCACTTTGACACTTCAGCACCTATTATACCTACTATGTGAACTAGCATCACTCGAGATGCTGCTCGCGCCGTGGGTCGCCCACCGCCCCATCCCATCTCATCAAGTTCATTCAGCTAAGCTTTTATTTCAAGCTTTCCTAGACCCCAGGTCGGGACTAATGTGAGAGGCGTGTGGAATATTGCGTGACGACCGTGTGACAAGCTGAATATGGTATCCACTAGTCGTCTCCGCATGGCCAGCAAGGTACCCGACTGCGACGTACGAGCAGGTGACATCTGCTCCGTCCCGACGCCTCGCATCTGGAAGCGCACTTCCACGTGCCTGGTGGGATCTCGCTTCTGGTACTGGAACCGTACGCCCTGCAGTTCGGCAGGGGCCTCAGCGATCGGCCCGCTCTGTCGCTTCCAACCTTGTAGGTCATATTGTCGCAGAGTGGAGCATATAGTGAGTTGGGTTCGATTCCTAACGGTACTATTGGTATTCGGTGCGTAGCTCATGCTCATGCTCTATGATATGGTGAGCTGGTTTTCTCATGAAGAAAATTGCACTTCTAGACCGAGTGTACGAAATGGCGAATCGGGTCGACGCAGGTCGATGCCACTACCCAGGCTAAAGAGCAGAGATTTAACCCTCCCCTCCCACAGTAGCCCTATACGCCAATTATGATCAAGTCGGGCTTTCAAAACTCCCGAGTATAGATCCTCACCCTCGTCTTCATGATTATTTCGCCATTGTAGCTTGGCCCGAAATGTGCGCGCTTTTGTCGTCGGCGTTTCCGGTAAGACATGGGGCACTGGCGCTGGTGGGACATCAGGAGGGTCAAGTAATGGCAAAGGTTCGTCTAATCTCCACTCCATCTTGGCCTGGAAGCTCCTCTGAGGCAAGGGGCTGATTGGTGTGTCTGGTGTTGCGTCTGTGATGCGATCGCCATCAACATCCACGGTCCAATCCCCTCTCTTCCTCCACAGTTCCATTCCGACAGACCAAGCACTCTCGTAGCTGTATACATTAAAATCCATCTTTGTTCCTAGAGAACAGTTGCGCCCAGCCATGACGGCATACGTCCAGCTCAATGTTCCCATCAGAGGGTTGATAGTCATGGTAGCCGTGAGGGGGGTCCCCTTATGAGAAGGCAGGGTAGCGAACCGTGTGCCGAGGCTCATGCCTCCTGACTTGTTCAGAGTTCCATAGTAGAGCTCACCACCAGCACTAAAGCGACCATAGATGCGTTCTTTTTCCGAGCCATTTGTCCCATTCCCGCCATCTTGCGTGCTGTCGGGCGAGACAGGGCCGGTGACGTCGCCTCCAAAGTTGTAGAGGCCTCGAATGCCCAAGAGACCGCCGTCCGAAGATGCTAGCCCTTCGACGCCATATCGCCCCTCGTCGTACTGAACCATGCCCAGAATGGTGCCTCCGTTCCGCAAGGTTTGATCCGAGACGGCACTGACCTGCATCTGAAGTGTTGAGGATATCCGCCTGACCATAAGGGCCTCAAGCATGGACTTGGGGAGATATAACCTCCCGTAAGCCAGCAGATCCTCACGCGCACCCTTCATTCTACTCCGGCGCTCGAGCTCGGCCAACGGGGAGTAGCTCTGCAGGAGCTCGGGCAGAGGTATTTTCTCGCTCTGGGCAACAGCATGGTAATCGAGGGGTACGGTCGAGTACAAGTAGGAGAGGGAGCCATCGACGACGCCGACAGTACCTAGCTGGTAGGCGGTTGCGAAATGGGGTGTTGCGAGCGAGGAAAGAGTCAAGCGCAAGCCGCGGGGAGTGGCAAAATGAAGTAAGGCGTCAGACGTCGCATTGAGGGTGGAATATGAGTTGTCGCGATTCCAGCCCGTAGCACCGTAGAATGCGCTCTGGATGTAATCCATGAACTGGCGCATCGTCGGCGGGTGCCTCTCGGCTCCGGGAGGAGAGCAGAGTAGGTAGAGAGAGAGGAGAGAGGATGAAGGGTGAAGGGTGAACAACAAGGACTACCGTGGAAGCATCGAGACTTGTTGGTGGCAACTGATATCAACCTAAAGCACCCGAGGGTTCGAGATTTACGTAGGTGCGGTCAATGCATGTATCATGACGGCGGTGAGAACAATATCGAAAAATATAGGATAAAGTTGTTACGGAGTAGAGCTTCAACTCGCATTGAAGTGATCTACCTACCTACCTACCTAGGTAGGTACTTAAGTAGGTATCGAGACAAGGGTTTCAGGTCAACCGGCAACCGAAGATTAGCCGCCTGTCAGCCGCAAGCAATGTCTTACATGCAACGTCATCAGATCAGGTCTCTACTCCAAGCCTTGTGGTCATCTTCGTATTGACTAAAGCTATGGTTTTCTGTCAAACACTGGGAATAACAAGGACCATTGATCTTAGAAGTCGTTCAGCTTCAACTGTACCCGTGCTTGTCCGCTTTGCGCTAAAGGTATCGATAACAGCAGCCCGTTGGGACTTGTTGGTAAAGAGTCCGGCAATCCGTCTGCGGAGAGATATTTCCTCCAGGTACTTACGGAGAACAGTTAGCCCTACACTAGGTGCTCAAAGCTCCGGTCTTCTTCGGAGATAAGAAGAGCGAATGCGAGAAGGCATCCAGTTTTCCATACCTACTCGTTGGCTCTCTAAACAACAACGAATCAATGGAATCTTACACATAGCCTACGGTTCGAGGGAACTATTTTGAAATATGATTCATCATCAATTCTGCAATTGGTTGCTCCTCTTCCCATGCGAACGAATGCGACACAGTAGCTGTCGATCGATTACTCATATATGATCTACTTGTGACTTTTCGTTACCCCCAGTTAAACCAAGGATGGATGGCTGAACTATTAGCCCGTCGTCGGGATATCAGATTCGCCCTCAGCGGCAGCCCCTATCCAGATACGCTTTGGACAACAAGACTTTGTCCAGCATGGGACGAGTATATATAAATGATCATGGTAGCAAGATATATCAATAAAGCCAGTCTCAAGCATCTCAACCATTCTTCTCTCGTCTCCTACGTGAAGCTCTAGTAGCCAAGACATTGCTACCCTACAAGTATCATCGATCTCTTATCGAAATATCTTAAATTCGTGCTTTGTCCAATATGTCGCAGTCCCAAGTTTGGCTCATCACCGGCGCTTTGCGCGGCCTAGGGTTCGACATGGCCAAAACCGCCCTCAAAGCTGGCCACAAAGTCATCGGGTGCTACCGCACCAAGGGGCAACAAAGCACGTCGAATTGGGATGAACTCGAGGCACTTGGCGGTATCTGGACGCAGTTAGACGTGTCGAGCGATGACGCCGAGGCCAAAGTCAAGGCACTCGTGTCCCAGTACGGGAGAATCGATGTACTGGTCAACAACGCAGGCTACGCTGTTTTAGGAAGCATTGAAGATGTCCCGTAAGGAGTTCCCTGTCTCTTGTTGCCGACCATCCATGGTTTCAAGACTCTGTCATTGTCGCTGACATCACGCTTGTGTATCTGTTCATAGCCTTGATCAAGTACACGCCATCTTTAACACCAATTTCATTGGCACGCTACGAACCATCAAGGGCGTATTGCCGTCCATGCGTGAGCGCAAGACCGGCACGATTGTGAACATTAGCTCCTCCATTGCCATTGATCATGTGCCAGGTCTTGGCATCTACACTGCTACGAAGTGCGCCATGGAAGGTATGTTTCTTTCAATCTTTCTATTTGCGGCTACCGCGTGCCCGACAGATATAACTTGTTTCCCGAAATTCGACTAATACTGTAGTAGGTTATACAGAGACTCTACAAGCGGAGGTTGCTGGGTTCGGTATCCGGATTCTTCTCGTAGAGCCTGGCGCCACGGTTACGGAATTCGCTTCCACAACAGGTAGCGGCGTTAGAATAGATTTAAGCGAGCCCTACGCGAGCGGCGGCATCGTCAAGCAGATGGCAGATTTTCTTTCCAGCCCGGAATAGTTAGTATACCCGTGCTATCTAACCCCCTTTTCCCATTTTGAAAAGCAGACATAGTTGCTCCTCTCGCGTCTCAATATTCCCCTGTATTCATTTTGTACGGTGTTGCTAACCCCAATGTGTGAACAAGTGCTTCAATGGGTGCGTCCTCCATAGCTGTTGCAGAGCGAATAGTCGAGACTATCGATGGAACAGGCATTATGGCTAGTAAGGAAGTTGGCCTTCGCCTTCCGCTTGGCAAGGATACAGGTGCTAGCTTTGAGAAGAAGTCTGCCGCGTACGCAGATGTAGCAGAAAATCTCAAAGACGTCTGGAGTAGTGTTTGAAAGTGACACGTCAAACTCAAGTCTGAAGATCTAAATGCCTATCGCTATCCACATTATATCAAAGCCCTCTGTTGGCATAATTGTACTATATCAACCAACTAGACTCTCAATTTGATCACCTACAATACACTATAAATACATTCTATATCTATTCTCTAGTGAGGTCTTCGTAGTGTTGTGACTTCATTTGTATCACAATGTCTGGATATGGTTTCGTTGAAGCAGGGCTTCTTTGTGAGCTGTCATACACAAACATCGCAAATAAGGCAAGTCTTTCTTTGCCGTAGCCAATAGGACGCCGACTACAACTTAAACCCGTCTATCTCCTCAGTATCTTTATTGCGAAAAGACTTATTTAAAAAGCATCCATTTCAGAGGACCTTGTCCTCAATACCACGCGCAGTCTAGTCGGGGGAATACCCATAGAGTATTTAGCCAAGTCTCACTACAGCCGTCATATCTTTGACTTAAAGTAAGAAGAGCAGATTAGTTATTCGTAAATATCTTCAAGGCGTATCCCGTACTCGCCAGATCCTGAAGTCTTGTTATAGCAAGACATGATTTATACAAATCGACATCTAACAAACCTATCGACCATGTCCCTATTGACTATGTTGAGATACATCCTAAGAGTGACCGCTCGCAGAGGGCTCATCTTCATCATGGCATACGATTGGTACGAGAATTACTACAAGAATGCCACGACTGAAGCTGAGCCTGCGAGCCTGCATTCCTTGGCGGCTGTGAGTAAGGATATTGTATCATTGACAGTAGCAAACCAAACAACCGCCATGGCCACGAACGAGGGGGCTGTGAAGCGAATTGGTGCAGCCGCGTCCTACAACCAAGATATCATCCACCTTCATATCTTAATGGAGTGCTACATAGCGATCCAAGTCCTTTCCCTGTTCTTACGCCCTTCCTGGGTCATCCTAACCAACCCTCGTCGCATCTCTAACTTAACTTTGAGATGATCCGTGATTTCATCGTATATTGGGATTTATCGTTGTTCATTTGTTCCTCGTACCTTATTGTAACAACCCCGGGAGTAATGTCATAAACGAGCTACAAAGAAATACACTGTACACAGGTTAGGGTAAAACCATAGATGTTATATGTGGCGGAGATATCGACAGTCTTATTGGTGACGTATATTATTGGCTGTTCGCATTAGCCAACTATTGCTGTCACTGACAGAAGTAGGGAAACGAGGCAATTGGCAATGTCAACTCATTACTTCTTGGCTACAGTTGAGTATGTTGCTAGAGAGCTACCACGCTTTCCAACCGCAGCTCGATCGCAGATAGGTGTTGCACTTGAAGATTGAGGCTTGTTGTTTGGGGTATTTATTTGGTGTTTTTGTGTAAAAAGCCACGGTGCATTCAGACCTCGAGGTGATACTAATGTGCACAAGTGCGAATGCGAATTCGCTATGAATTGATCAACCCTTTTCAGACGCCATGCCCTATGCTACCTAGACCGTAGTAGTTCGTTCCCTGGTACCGCATTTTCCGTTTCCTAGATTTACTCGTCATCTTCATCCTCCTCCTCGGCCTCAGCGCAGGTCTGAGCGATTCGGTCAAGATCACGTTGGCCGCTGGCAAGCTGTTAGCGTGGCGGCATGGTATAGGGGGATATGGACATACGATTGCGTGATTCTTCTTCCTCCCTTCTCCTCGTCTTGCTCCAATACACCAATCTTCTCAAGAGCCTGGAGGATCTTGCGGTCGACGGACCCTGAAGCGTCTACGTGCTTGGAGGGGCGGGTGCCTCGGTTCTTGGCGGTACCGTGTGTCTTTCGCAGACGGCCAACACCGACGGTCTTTCTCACTGTAGGTTGCCAGAGTCAATGATTGCTCTATTCGAAGAGGCAAAATAAGGAGCTCGGTATGCTTATTCGAGAAGCCCGCATTTATTGAATTTGAGAGCGGCTAAGAGAAGAAGAGAATTGATGTGGACAACATACTGTAGACACTTGTGTGTTGTTAGCTAATGTCAAGTGTCTAGTATTAAGGAGCAAACTTACTGACGAGCCACGGCAGCGGCGCGGACGTAGAACCAGTCCTCAGACTAATATACTGTAAGCAGAGAACAACTTAGATAGCACAGAATCGTATGAAAAACAAAAACCACAGGTCGCAACCACGGAGGATTTTCTCATGGCAAGGTGTCGGCTCGGTATTTCAGGACCGGTCTTGACTAACCTGAGGAGGCAATTCGCGGCTGACACCAGTCTTGACGGTGTCGACCCAGCCGGGAACGGGGAGCTTTCCCTGGCGCTTTAAGCTGTCGCGGAGGTCAGTATTCTTCTCTCGCTGTAGTCGACGTTCGTCTATATCGTGTAGTCTCACAATTGGGAGTAAGTCTCGATGAACTTTTGCTATTATACCAGGATCGTCAGCGATTTGTCGTCAATAGATATTTCAGCTCTCTCGCGCCTGCTCCCAGAGACCACAGTGTGTTGTGACGGAACTCGAAGTTGTATGCCAATGGGCAACGTCGATCGTTCTCGTAGGGTCGAGGGCGAGAGAGTTGTCAATGGACAGAAACAGTGATTATTTCGCCCACTTACCGCATCGACATCGCGGACAGAGATTCCACCACCCATTTTTGCGGTTGTTTTGTCTTTTTTTCTCACGGCCTGAAGTGGTTGGGAGTTCGCGGTCGGACTGGACAAGGGCGAGGGAGGTTGTCGGGCGTCTTCGTCGGTCGTTGTGCGAGAAGTTATCCTGAGTTTTTCCGATTTGGTTGGTGGTTTCGTGCGTGGCCAAGAAAAGGTGGGGTCTCCTTAGCTGTGGAGGATGATAGGGTCCCGTCTCGCTTTTGATAAGATAAGGTTATCTTATGTACCTATGTACTCTTCTAAGTAAAGCTCATTCTCCCGCCTCTTTGTGCCCAAGCCACTTCCCATGCCAAGCCACAGCACTCAGATTCGACATGTACCCGAGCCGGCTAGGTATTCGTTTAAGATATATGTGTCGTGAATAGGTATGCCAAAGTGCGAATTGTCTTTTACTAAGTCAACTGTTTTCATCCTCTACGGCACTGTTCCTTCGAGTTATGAGAATCATGTATGTCTATCTACTATGGTGGAATTGTGGGATGAAGATACCATATTCGCCAAAAATCCGTGTTCCTGTTTTCAGTTGAACCACCCACCTTCAATTGTTCCATGCTCATAACCAAAGTTCATCACTGGCCCTGTTCTCATTTAGATACTCCAATATCTGGCTATAGTCTTTGCACACGTGCTTGGCATCCCAGCCATCACTGCCTTCAACACCCTCTGGAAAGGTCGTCTGATCGCCTTCCAGCGCGACGTCGCCGCAACACATGATTCCTTGTCGTAAGTAGTCAAAGCAATGCGCTACATGCCACTCAGCATCTGTTGGCACCCTTGTCGAGTCGGAGGTCAATGCCGAGTAGGCCTCAGCGATGGCGTGCTTGGAAGAGGGTCAGCCATTCGTGATGGGTAGCAATGATTACGACAGTACTGTACCAGACAATGCAATTGGTGAGTCATCGAAGTCGCGACCACAAAACGATCCTTGAATGTCGCTACATTTGTTGGTATATTCTTGTATTTTCCAGGGTCCTTCACCTCCAGGTATCCAAGACCCTCTAACGCTTTGCATTAGCGACAAGTAAGGACAGTCGAGATGAGACGCGATCTCGCGACATACTCGGTAAAATGTCAAGCCACTTCTTCTTCGTTGCTTCAGAGAAAAACTGTGATGTATTTTCCGGGACGAATCCCGGATCGGGGGAGAATTTGCGAATTTGCTGCGAGACTTGCGAACGCCGCAAGTGTCAGTATGCTCGGTGAGATGTCAAGAGGTAGGTGTTTCTCACATTGAGGGGCGAACCCCACTATGTCGCCGTTACCCTCGATGTCACGGCTCCTCGGCCAAAACTTATCCAGAAGGAGGGTTATAATGACCAGAACCAGGAGTGCATCTACGACCCATCTGTATCTACAAAGGAATGTGAGAAGCCGGGCCTTCTTGGATTGCGACGATGCTGGTAGATAATCTCTCTCGTTTAATAAATCGAGTATCTCGGTGCGGAACTCTTCATCGTCTCCAGCATCAAGGCTGTGGTAGGTGATAGTGTTCCTGGCGCCTTTTGCCATTTTGGCTGTCAACGTATGTTACTATTGAGAGGCTTGGGCATTAAATTGGTATTTACTTCGTTCAAGATGAATTATTCATGTGTGTCGTGAGGTGCTTAAAAGTACTGACTTTCAGGGGCTACTACTAGATCCGTCACCCATATGAGACGTTTGATGTCACAAATGTTCTTGGACCAATAGAAACATCCAAGTGAATGATATATAAAATAAAGTAGATAATTTTCACTTCACTATGGCAGATCGCGTGAATCATGTCAATATTCTCACCTCTTCATTTCCCTCACGATCTGGTGATGAACGTATTGGTAAAAGCTCATGATCCGTGTGGTGATTGCCATGCGATTCTACGCATCGTATCATGTAAGCACTCGCATACATTGAGATGAATGATTTGCTGGGGATTTAAGAATAAACGTCTAGATCTTGGGTGCCGCTCTGGTGTCTCGACAAAGCATTTCATACTCCCGTCGATAGTAGAACGCTGCTGGAAGTTGGCGGTGGTTGGCGATTGGGAGAAGCTGGCTACGGAGGGGACTGAAAGATGGGTATAAGACACGGAGCTGCCACACAATCACTATTCTAACACAGCATGGAGGTCGAGGTCGTATAAGTATGTCCATCACCCTTGGGGTTGGCCCATCGTGCCAAGCCTGAGATATATTTGCGAGCCAAACCTACGTACTTCCTTTTACCATTACAATGTCTGTCATTTGTCACTCCGAGCCCCACGTTCCGCCAAGAGCCTAAGGTTAGCTCTACTCGCAGAGTCAGTCAATCTAGGTAGGTAGGTAGGTAGGTAGGCAGGTAGGTAGGTAGGTGGGCATTACATTTGACTTGTCATCCTCAACATGCCCGCCAGCTCTGTGAGGAAGGCGGACATATCCATCCTCTGCCAGGTGAGGACCTGGCGATCTGCGGACAACTCAGTGCCAAGCCGCACAGCCGAGTTTCCGTAATGGGTGAGCTGCCCGAACCGTCTTTTCGATTATGCATTGAAACGCCCGTGTTCTGGCTTGCCGCTTGTGTAGGTAGAACACGAGTACTGTATCTGCCGGTATCTTTGCTGTCTTACACTGTGCGTTTATGGTTGCATTTCCTTATAGTAGATGGTCAGATCAGTGGGATGTACGCTGTCAGTAGGTATGTTTGTTTTCGGCACTTTTTGGGCTCCAACAATCTCTCTATCATCCTCTCTCCACAGCCTGCAATCTCCAATGCTTTCAGCCCTATCGCTTCGTCTTGTATTCCACACGACTGTGTTGATTTCACGAATTGTTATGCACCAACCTGCGGAAAGCAGGCCGCGTTCATTGGCTAAGCATTTAGCCATGGCTCGGCAGCCCCCCTCTCTGGACGTACGTTAACGCAGAGGCCCTCGGCGGTCGCGTGCTTAGAAGCTAGGTATTCTAGCATTGGGCCTTGCGTCCTTCCCGCCGGCAATTTTTAAGCCCCGATGGGGCTCATGGATGCGAGTGTAACTTCTCTATCGCCCCGGAAAGTACGACAGATTCGGCAGCTCGACATTTTACTCAAGGATGGTTGGCTTATAAGCACCTTGACAACGCAAATCTGCAAATCAGAATGCGGCGAAAAGAAAGGCGGAGTAGTCGCCAAGATCGGGCCAAGGTCACGGTGCAGATCTATTGCTGGGTACGTTATAATAAAGTTGCCCAAGCTTGTCGCGATGGTGTCTTACCTGCCATTTTAGTACAAGTGAGATGCCATTGCGATACTGATATGTGATGTTCCATCCACAAAGAGCTAAGGAATGTAAATGAATGTGCAGTGTATCCTGATTCATGGGACAGTATCGGACTCCAAGCCAAGACGCGAACACCTACGGACTACACAATGGTTGACGGTTTGGAGCATAGCTTGCTCCATCTGTAGCCCCCTGGAGAAGTAAGGTCAATACGGGGTCAATATGATGCGATAACAAATGATAATACTGCTACCTAACCCGCCCTGATAATTCGAAGATCTTACCGCGGTAGGCACTGGGGGTCGCGCATATAAAAGTAGCGGCTCTTCCCCTTCGACGCCACAAAAAACGGTTTCTTGCGAGCCGCAGAAGTCAACAAGTCAAGCATAGGTTGATCTCCCAGCAAGATGAAGAGTGTCATAAATGCTGCCGCCATTGCGGCCTTGGCCAGCCTTGTACTGGCCAAGGAGAAGCCTGTGGACGAAGAATTGAGCAAGTCTCTCTACCAGAGTGGTATCCGACACATGGAGATCATGAACCACAAGGAGGTAAATCACTTACCCAAACTGACCAGAGAAACATCTCAGTGCTAACGTTTTGCCTAGTCTTTCTGGGCTGACCGAAGGGCGAAAGGCCTCTTTGACTCAAGCCAATATAAGAGCATGGCAGCCGACGTACCCGTGGCTCCTTGTGTCAACGGTCTCGCCGAGCTTGAGGCCGGTAACCCTCTGTACACATTCAACTGCAGCGGCCTCGACCTCTACGATTTCCAGTCTCACGCCGACCTCGGTAGCCCAACTGGCGAGGGTGCTGGTTCATGGGGTTGGACCAGTGGAGACGGACGTGAGTTCATGGCCATTGGACAATCTGACGGTGCTGCCTTCCTCGAAATCACGCCAGCGGGTAAGATCTCTTACCTCGGTCGCCTACCGCAATACAGCAAGGCCCAGCCTTCACTGTGGCGTGAGATGAAGGGGTACAAGAACTACATGGTCATCGGCAGCGAGGCTACGAACCACGGCGTCCAGATCTTCGACATGTCGAAGCTATTGGACATCGACCCTGCTAAGCCTGTGACCTTCAAAGATGCTGACGCCTTCCACTTTGCTGGTCTTCCCAGCGGTCGCTCCCACACCGTGCAGGTGAACGAGGAGAAGAACTACGCCGTCGCTTCTGGCTCCCAGCCGCGAACTGACAAGTGCAAGTCCGGTCTCATCTTCATTGATCTGACCGACATGAAGAACCTGAAATCTCCTGGCTGTGCCGCCGCTGACGGCTACGTTCACGACGCTCAGTGCGTTGTGTACCGCGGTCCCGACAAGAAGTACGTCGGTACTGACATTTGCTACGGTTGGTTACCTGAATTCAATTCTTTCTTTGTTGCGAAATTACTGACTCCCCTTCCTGCAGGATATAACGAGGATACGCTGACCATCTACAACGTGACTGACAAGGCCAAGGCCACCATTATCTCACGTACCTCGTACGAAGGAGCCGCATACACTCACCAGGGCTGGGTCCTCGACACCGAGTGGCAACAGTACCTCGTTCTCGATGACGAATACGACGAGTATGACAAGGTCGGGCCCGGATCAGCTGGCTACCCAATCACTTACATCTGGGACATTTCCTCCCTCGAAAAGCCCAAGCAGACCGGCTACTACAGCGCCAAAGTTAAGGGCATCGACCACAACCAATTCATCAACGGAGACTTCGCCTACCAGAGCAACTACGGTGGTGGTCTTCACATCCTTGACATTTCCTCCATCCCTTCGGACCCTACCGGTAAGAGTGTTAAGGAGGTTGCTCACTTCGACATCTACCCTGAAGATGATGACGAGAGCGGTGGTGGTATCATTGAGTTCGTTGGCACTTGGAGCCACTACCCCTACTTCAAGAGCGGCTACATCGTCATCAACACCATTGAGCGTGGTGTTTACGTCGTCAAGCGATCTTAACGTCTGTCCGCCCATGGGCTCGACTATGATGAGTTATTGAATTAACGCTGCATATGATACATCTTCGCTAGTTGGGTATATATATCAAGTAGCTAATACATACAGATGAAATGAAACGAAAAGAAAGCCGTGGCTGTCTCTGGTGAAAATTATAGCCAACAAAATCTAAATATGAAGTGACGATCATAGCGACGAGTAAGGTAATGTCTGTGAGAACCCTAACTCTTCTTTTGTAGAAGGTAGTCCCCTCCACGCCAAGCCTTGTATACACCATACAGACCCTGGAATGGGCGTTTATTGCGCAGAACAGAGGGCATCCTACTCTGTTCTTTCGCTTTTCTTTTGGCATCCTCGTCTACCTTGACTTTGTCATAAACACTTGGCAGGTGGTCTGCATGGAATTTTCTCCGTACTGCATCATACGCAGGTTTGTTGTATGTTTCCCAGAATTCCTCTTCGGTGTAATAAGCCTGTGCGTACAACGTCTTGGCGCCCCCAAGCTCATGCACTTTGTGCTCGATCCGTCGGTTGAGGCGCACGAGCTCATCGTAGTTGTTTGGTCCGGGACCCCAGACACCGAAGTTCAGAACGACTTCGGGCGTTTTGGTAGCGTCAGCAAAGTCGGCGTGTAGCCCATGCGCAGCGTCGGGCGTGTAACGACGGACTCGGATCGGGCAGAGCCAGAGCGGGTAGATGTGTAGTGTCTCGTGCAGCCATTCATAGAATGTCTCGGCAGCATCAAAGGGGACTCCCACGTCTTGAATGACTGTAGAACTCGGGGTTAGAGATTACCGTACCAACTGTGAATGGGAGGCTTTCCGGGGGGGGGGGGGGGGGGGGGGGTTGTGGTTTAAATTTAAAAAATCCATAAAAAAACACCGGACGATAAAAAAGTAAAAAAATTATAATTTAATAAATTAAAAAAAAAACTTATACTAAACCCCGAATTTATGAAAGC